GCATATCCTTGATCTCTTTCAGGTTATCATCCCCGAGTAATTTATTTCTATTAGCTTCACAAGAAAAAGTAGAACCATCATAGTAAGGGGTTGGGAAAGGATAAGAAATATAAGCACAACCATGAAAGTGACCATCTTGACCAACACACACATCACACATATTTCATAAATAAGATTGAGTTGGTGCACATAACTCGCTCTCGGGAACATTTTGATAATTTTGCCAAGGATGGTTTCCTTCGCAATATGTATAAGGATTAAAAGTAGAATTACCAACACCTTAACTCCAATAATTCCAAGATGTCATGTTTCTCAAATCAAAAAGTAGACTAAGATAAAATTAAAAAAAAAAAAGAACAAAATAAAATAAAAGCTCAAAATTGAAACTTAGCAATATATACAGCTACAACTACATTGTTAGTTCCCGGCAACTGGCGTCAAAATTAGATCAAGTACAACTCTAGTCCCAAAAAGGATAAGCGGTCGATGCAAATATAATCCGGTCTAAGAGTCTGGAGTCGAATCTCACGGGGAACTAAGGTTTAGCTACAACTGTTCATTATCACTAAGAAGACAAGCTCGAATAATTCCTAAGTTAGAAATATTAATATTCTTATGTCTAACTAATTAACTAACAAATTAAAGGAATAAATTAACAACTAAAGATACTAAGTGTTGGAGACAAGATTAAGAAGGTCTAGAGTTATGATTTTTCCGATTGTCGGAATCCTTCCCGCTACGTCTATCTATAATTTTGTCTAATTATTCTCTATTGATCGTGAGCACTCAACTTATCGTAATTCTCTCACGAGCAACTACAATAATGTACTAATCATATGCTCTCGAATTATGCTAGCTCGCACTTTTTCACTGCTCACTATGATCACGTCAAAGCTTCTTTATCTCTAATCCCGCATTTAAACCCGCCGAACTGATCTCTCATATACATTAGGAGTGAGGTTGTCTAAATATGTACTCCTTTTCCAGCAATACATAACAAATAGGCATATTTAATTGAGAACTCTTCAATAAACTAAAATAAGCACGTAGTTGAATAAATAGAAAATTCAAAGACTCGGTTATATCACAACGTATCAAGAATTCATTCTACAAATGGTTCTATCAAAACCCTAGATAACAGAATTAGCTACTCATAAAAGTATGTAAAACTACAATACTAAAATTCATAACCAATAATAGAAATAGGAAGAAGAAAGTGAATAACTCGTATGAGAATTATCCGTCTTGCTCCTTGCGTGTTCTTGCCTCCTTAGATCGGATCCCCCTCTTTATGTCGAATTCTTCTCCTTTGGTCGAATCTCCTCCTTTGGTCGAATCCCCCCTCTCAAAAGTGAGTTTAAAGACTATTTATATGGGATAGGGTTAGCATGGGGCGAAATAATACAAGCCAACTTTGGAACAGACTTTTCAGGTCAGCTCGTTCACTCTCTCGTGCGCACGCGAGAGTGAACGAGCGAAGTATTTCTCTTTTTCTTTTTCTTCTTGGTCTCCCGTTCATATCCATGCCTTTTTACCATAATTCGTTGTTTTTTTCAAGATCCCCTCATCTAGCTCGTTCACACTCTTGTATGCACGCGAGAGTGAACGGGCGAAGTTTTTTTTTTATCTTTTTGTCCCGAATCAACTATTTTTGCTCACCTTTTGTCCAACTTGCTCCTACACATAAGAATGCAATTAATGAGCATAATTCATTATAAATACTCATGTAACCTCCCAGGGCGGATTTACATTGAGCGAAGTGGTATCACGGGACACTGCTTCGTCGAAAAAATTAACTAAATAGATGTGCTAAAATGATATCTTAAAATTTAAAACGAATAAAATAATATGGGTGACACCACTGTACAAGGATGCCTCTCTAGTCTAGCGGTTTGATCATGAGATTAAACTTTGTTTCATCAAGGTCGTGAGTTCGATCCACTATATTTAGTTTTTTCTTTTCATTTAAGTAAATCAATTTAAAAATGACTGAACTGGTCACATCTCTTCAATGTACTACCCTAGCCCGAAAGTAAACATATCTTGCTAAGTTCATCTTTACTTATTTGTGACAAAGGTAGCTTTTGCTTTTAGCCTTTTTCCTGCCATAAAATTTGGGAGTTTTTTTCTTAAATCTTATTTTTAATATCTGTTTGTTTATAGAATATAATCATTTTTTGACAAACTTTGAAAACAAAATTTTCAACTCCCAAAAACAGCTATAAAGTAGTTTTTAAAATTTTTTACTCACAAAACTTCAAATTATTTTCATGTAAAATGCATGTCCAAACAAAATTTCAACTTTCAAAAGTCATTTTTCATCTCATCTTCAAAAAATTATTTTTACAAGTTTCATCCAAATTTATGTGAAAATGCTAGCTTAGTGTCTTTCTTTTGTGAACAATGACAATTACATCAATGCATTTAGATTGATTTTATTTGTACAATATTATGATGATTTATTTACGTGTTGATTTATTTAAATGTGACATCTCTTGCGAAAAGTTTTGTGCACGCTACTGTAACCTCCCATATTCATACAAGTTATGAGAAGAAAGTACACCGAAAAATATACATTTTTAGCCGTTTATTAGAGTCAAATTAAGTTATTTCAACGCGACGGAAATGCCTACAAGAAAGAACCAATACTCACACAATTGACTCCTACGCTCCATGACTATTTTTCTTATTCTCCATTCAATACCAACTTCACTCTTCAACAGTCAAGGTCGTCTTATCTAATTATTATTTCACAAAAAATTTATAATGGAAGCTAAATCTTACCCTTGTACATAACTATGGACCTAACTGTTGAAGCCCTGGCAATAGTTCTCCTCATTCCTTGGTAGGTTTGGACTTGGGGGGGAGGGGAGAATAAAGAACGAACCAAAATAGAAGACAGTACTCATTTTTAGGGGTGGACGTGGTTTGGGCAAATCCGAAATCCGATTTTTTTTAATCTTTGGTTTGGAATTTCGGATTATTAATTGAATTTTGGATTTAATTTTTAAAATTTTTGGATTTTAAATTGGATATTGTATTTGGTACATCGGATATTTGGCTATCCGAAAATCCGAAATTTTATATTTTATAGATAGTCCATTATCCATATGCCAATAATAATAAGTTCAATACCCTACCCATTAGATATTATCTCATATATGCAATAGTAATTACTAAGCTACTGTTAGAATACTTTCTATCTGGACATGATTTTACTATTGTTATGTACTTCTATCGGGCGTATTAATGTCTTTGTTGTATTTTTTTTAACAATAATTTCATTATTTGAATGTTATATTTGAAAGAATGCGGCAAGAATGTAGAATTTTTCAGGCAATTTAACATGAGTACTTCATTTGGATGTTCATTTTTGTAAAAAGTAGAAACATCTCAACTTATACGCTACAACAACAACATATCCAGTATAATCCCACATAGTAGGGTCTGGGGAGGGTAGTGTGTACGTAGACCTTACCCCTACCTTGTGGAGGTAGAGAGGCTATTTCCAATAAACCCTCAACTCAGGAAAGCATATGTACCGCAATAATAACAAGAAAACTAGACATGACAACACCGGAAATCATATAAAAGCAACATACATAACAAGATAGTAAGATGATCGAAATGCAAAAATAAATATTAAAAAAAATGGCAGGTATTCAAAGAAACTTAAAATCAAGCAAATGCGAGAGTACGTACTAAAACTATCGGTATAAATAATCTAGACTACCTAACCTACTGTTCTAATTCTCGACCTCCACACTTTTCTATCTAGGGTTATGTCCTCGGTCAGCTGTAGCAGCCATGTCATGCGTATTCACCCCACCCCAACTCTTCTTCGGCCTACCTCTACCTCTCTTAAGGTCCTCCAATTTCAACCTCTCCTTACCAGGGCGTATGTGCTTCTCTTCCTCACATGTCCAAACCATCTAAGTTGTGTGTCCCGCATCTTGTCCTCAATAGGGGCACACCCACCTTGTCCGAATAACTTCATTCCTAATCATATCTAATCTGGTGTGTCTGCACATCCATCTCAATATCCTCATCTCTGCTACCTTCATCTTTTGGACGTGGGAGCTCTTGACTGGCCAACACTCAGCCCCATACAATATAAACGGTTTGACCACCGCTCTATAAAACATACCTTTAAGTTTTGGTGGTACCTTTTTGTCATACGAAACACCGGAAGCAAGTCTACATTTCATCCATCTCGCCCTAATACGATGTGTGACATCTTTATCAATCTCCCATCCCCTTGTATAATAGACCCAAGGTACTTAAAACTTCCCCTCCTAGGGATGACTTGTGAATCCAGCCTCACCTCTCCTTCCACTCCCTAAATAGCACCACTAAACTTACACTCCAAGTATTTTGTCTTGGTTCTGCTCAGCTTGAAACTTTTAGATTCCAGGGTCTGTCTCCACACCTCTAACCTCGCGTTAACACCGTTTCGCATCTCGTCAATCACAACAATGTCGTCTGCAAATAACATGCACCACGACATCTCAACTTATACTCTCAAAACCAAACATCCATAATATCCCAACCGACTAATCCGAAATCGAACTTAAAAAATCCGACCCAATTAATCCGAACTTATTTGGATTGGATTTGGATTGTCATTTCTTCGATCCGAAAATTGAAAATTCAAACCAAAATTCTCATATCCAATCCGAACGGCCCGAATGCCCACCCCTACTCATTTTGTTTTCAATTTTTCGAATAAAAAAGTTTACCTTTTAAGAAATGTTACTATTGCTTTAACATGACATACAGAGCCATACACTCATACTCTAAAGTAAATGAGTACGTAAAACAACACCACCAAAGGATGTGGTACAGTGGATGGGACTGCTCTTCCCTTAACTAGAGGTCTCGGGTTCGAACCCTGGGTATGGAAAAATCCTTGGTAGGGAACGCTTCCCCCTGAAAGGGGTCCTACGCGGTGCGAATCCGGATATAGTCACCGAGTGGGAAACCAAAAAAAAAAGAGTACGTAAAACAACAAAAACAATTGTATTTAATCAACCATGAGAAGCTTACACAATATCAAACTTAGAAACAAATATCAACTCCCACTAACAAAGAGAGGCACTTTTGCCTTGGGCTGGACCTCTCTAAAACATACTACTACAAATTAAAAGAAGGATATCCCTCTATACACAATTAATAAACCCCCAAAAAATTAAATTTTAGTTAACTTATTTAGTTATAATGTAAATTCTTGAATCTTAAACACGATTTAAGAAAATTTTCTAGGATTTAGTGAATAATAATGAGGTAGGCTATTGTTATAAGTGACTTGATTAAGTTCTCTTTGGGTATGTCCTTGGATCTTGGTGTTTGACGAAAAATGTCTGCTTTGTCTGTTTTTTCTTCTTGGATGTGAAGAACGAGGGATAAAAACTCCAGTTCCTTTGCTTTCTCTTCTACTATTCTGCTCATTTACATATGGTGTTCTTATAGCTGGATGGATTACTTGTGAAAATACCTGAAATTTTTTAAAGACAAAGACAAAACTCACAAGTTTAATAAAGCTGAAATTTGAGATATATATAGGATTAATTTCACTTTGTCATTCACTTCATTTATTATAACAGTAGAGTTACAAAACTATTTTTTATCACGTAACTAAACTATTCACGAAATGCTAAAAAAATTACTAAGTCAGAAGGTCAAATTATGGGTCAATATATCATTTGCCAATTGCCATGTCAGCACTTTGTCACGTTATAAATTCCATTTTAAAAAATAAAAAAGATTCACGGTGTAAAATTTATCACTACCCATATTCTAAACAAAGACAATTAACAAAAATATATTAATGAAACAAAAGAGATGATTATAGTACTTATAGAAGTATAAAAGTTGTTTACAAAAAAAAAAAAAAAGATTAATACAACAAATTGTTGGTGTGTATTCTCTCTCAAAATGGAGTTCCCTAATTTTGTCCTTTTTTAAATATATTTTTATATCTCCCTTTTATAACTTAATATACTAGAGATCGGTGCTTCTATGTATGAACTTCTAGCATATTATGCTGGAACTCCAACACACGGAAAGTTCCAGCATAATATACCGGATATTGGAGCACCTGTGTTTGAATTTCCAACATATTATGTTGGACCAGTATATTATACTGGAACTCTAGTATTATAATATGCTGGAGTTCCAGTATACTTATCCTGAAACTTCATTATATTATACTGGAGTTCCAGTATATTATGCTGGAGTATTCGAATTTTGATCAGTATTTTCGTTCAGATTTATCTTTACATGAAAAGTGGTCAAATTTCGATTACTTTTGAAACTGTGGCTATTTTTGAATGACCACTTGTAACCACTTGTAAAGCTGGCTATTTTTTAATTCCTCCCGTAGAAAAAGTTATATTGTCAGTAGATAAATTTGAAAGAAAAATTGAAGGGGAACATGACTTGCTACATTTACCATTGTATCATAACACAAAATTCTTGAGGACATCCTGATCCACCCGATTCATGAATTAGACAAGGATAAACAAGTTGGGAGTCCAAATAGCGCCCATGAAGGGGTTGACCCTTGGTAAACGTCACAACCGATGACATATAGCCTTTATTATAATTATAGAAACTATATGGCAAAGATAACTAAAATAATTGTAGGGGAAAAAAAGAAAGACGACTTGAATAAGAAAAAAAACTTGTAGTTTGAGAATTGAAAGAGAGGGGAAACTCAAAATGTATGGTACGATACCTGAAGAGAGTGAGGAGAAGGGCGATAAGCAGAAGAGTTTTCATCTTCATCATCATCCATTATTAAAAGAGAGATTTGCTTGCTCAAATCTGCAAAAAACAAATCATCTTCTACTTCCATTAATAAGTAACAACTTTACAACACAGAAGAAGACTAGCTTGTATTAGTTCTCTTTTTTTTCCTCTTTTGGTGCTTTAAGTAGGAGGGATTTAAGTAGGAGGGATATAGTGTAATAAATAGGAGGGGAAATAAAGCAAAGAATGGGCTAAAAAAAAAGAGTATACATGTGGGATGGTAGGGTCAAGAATGACAGCTAAGTCAATCTGTGCAAGACCCACAAAAGGATATCAACAAAGTGTAATGTAGATTTTAACTTTGTTCTGTGGAATAACTTTTACACTAGATAATCTAAAAAATACTCCTAGTAATTATGAATAATTATTCATACTAAATGAAATTAGTGATTTTAAAAATATGACAATCACATGTTACAATAAGTTTAAGTACAGAACTCTCTTAAATGATTAGTATACCACAACAACATACTCGTGTGATCCTACAAGTGGGCAGGTCTAGATAGGATGGGGTGTACGGCAAACTTTACACTACCTCATACCTTACCTCGTGTGAGGTAGAGAGACTGTTTCTGGTAGACCCCTAGTTCAAAAAAAGTGTTATCAAAAACAGTTTGGAAAAATACAAGAGTTAAAAAGTTATGAAAAATACTGAAAAAAAGAAAAGTTTTGACAGCAAAAATAGTAAAGATAACCAACATAAAAGAAACATTGGTAGTAATTAAATTAAATTGTTTATATTATCCAGATGAGAAAGAGTAACAAAAGGAAAAAGAGATGAGGATTGAAAAATCTGCACAGCAGCAACAGCCCACGCTTTAATAGATCAGATATCTCATCCAAAGGTAGACTACATGATCCTTGGCCATTATTATACTTACAAGGATTGGTTGTGACTCTCTTGGGCCTCTAGAGTCGAATTAATATTTTTGACACAGAAATATAAATACCATAAAAATTAAATAATTAAAATTGTAATAAATATAAAAAATTTAATAAATAATTTCAAAAGTATAATGGAATTACTGATAAAAATCTAAAGATTGAAGACTAATTAAATTTAAATTTTGAATACGCTTTTGTCATCCACTACCCTCAAACTGACTCTCACTGTCCTCTCTTTTCATCCACCAGTAAAGCCCCAACTTGCATCAAATTCCTATGGTTGCAAGTGTATGTATGTCACTAAAAGATGGAAATAGCTGCAGTCATTTGGCTTTGTCACACTAGACAATGAAGAAAGTTAAATTATTGTCACTTATAAGAATGATTATTTATCACATATACCTTTTGTTTTATTTTTAATAATTTCTCGATCAGGGGCGAAGCCACCTTTCTATAAGGGTGGTCAACTAACCACCCTTCACCGAAATATTACGAAAAATTATACTGTGTATATAAGTATAATATTAATTTTAGATGTGTAAAATATATATTGAACACCCTTTGTCGGATTTTTTTTTTTAGTTCTTCAAGTCTGAACACCCTTGGAAATATTTATGGCTTCGCCACTGAGAACGATCGATGAATAATGTATTAACATAATTACATTACTAAAGAGCTAATTATCTTGTTTAGTCGCAATTGGCAACCTCTTATTTGTTTATTCCACATATATCTTTTTCTTTGATATCTAAAAGTTCTCCAAAAATACGAGAAGCTGAACGATTTTGTAACATATTTCAAACTATAATTGGACTATGTTCAACAACTCAAGAATTTAGAGTATATCTTATGTTTCTTTCCATTGTTTGAGGTAAATAGTACGTCTATGTAAAAAAACGATTAATGTTACAATTATTTGATTATATAAAAGTACTCATTCCAACATAAGCATCTAAATAATGAAAGGTCATTAAATTCCAAAAAAGTGATCCAGAAAACAATTTGACCAAAAGTATAATTTGGAAAATAGAATAAGTGAAATTTTGTGGCTAATCAAATTAATGACATCATTTTATAATTTTCCCCGTACTAGAATTAATTAGTAAAAATGAACTTGGTGAAATGATCTTTCGTATACTGTGTTCCTTCCATTATATAACAAAGTGTTTCTAGATAAAATTCTTAGTATTATTTTTTTTCCCTCCTATTTATAACTATAACATTTCCGACTCAAACATTACCCTAAATCATAAGAAAATCGTAATGACAAGTGCATTCGATATAAAAAGTTTTTTCGTGCATTTACATGATGCTCTACTACTAGTGTTTGCTACTACTTCTAGTAGCTTTTAAAATACGTAAAGAAACTAATTTAGAAAACTAACAGGATTAGCTAAGTTTTCATTTGGAAAAAGTAGAGGCAGCACGACACAAACTTGATATACCTATCACAATAATTTAGCTTACAAAAAAGAGTTTAAGAACTATACACTAATGGTTCTTAACACAAATAGCTGACCAAATATACTGTTTACTTTTCCTAGTCAATATACGTAAATTATACATATGACATACATATATTATATATCCGTCGGTTATTTTTAATTTAAGCGGTTGGGTGATCGACTATTTGGGTTAACTCTTCTAAAAATTATCTGGACAATAAAATCATTTAGAGGGATACTCCTTGCTACTAACTCTATTTTATAAAGGTTATCATAAATGATAAGTAATTTACTATATATTATCGATTAAATTACACTAAGAGCTTGTTTGGAAAGCCACCTTGGAAATGGATTTGGGTGTAATTACACAGTTGACATGTTTGTTTGGCCAAGTAATTACTTGGTCAGCATGGAATTGGGTGTAATTCGAGGGGTGTAATTACACTCTCCAATTCTCAAGTGGAGGTGAGAATTGATGGTAATTATACTGTATAATTACAAGGTTTCTTTTTAGTTTCTTTCATTTTATTTTTATTTGTATTTATTTTCTTTATAACCTTTTATTTCTATTATTTTAATTTTTAATTTTATTTTACTTTTGAATTTCTTTTAAAATTTTAAAATATATTTTTCTTTGTACATTATTTATCTTTTATTTCTAATCTTTACTTCATGTAATTCCATGTTATTGCTTATATTTTATTTTTTATTTATTTTATTATTCTATTTTTTGGAACCACGCCTCCTAATATTAAAAACAATGAGTCAAATTAACAAACTTGGCATATAATGATTAATGCAATTAAAGTAAAATTTTGTTGTTGAATTAATGTGGTTATAAACTTATCATGTTTCCTAATCTTAAGTTGTGTTGGAACTTTCTATTGTTATGTTGGTATTTGACATATGTTAAACTATTTTATTTATTTTTTGAATTTTGAAATTTCGTCATATTCATGGTTCCAATTTACTTGTTTTAGTAGTATTGGCTCACATTGCATGTTGTTCATTTTTTAGTTAGAATTGATAGATTAGTTTTGTCAAATATTTGAATAATGTTATGGCATTATATTTATAAATATTAATTTATTTTATCAAACATGAATTCCATGACGGTCTTACAAAACGTATATTTTTAGTTTTTGCACGTATCTAAACTAAATATTATTAATTTGAAATATATATACAAATTATTTTTATAATATTAGTTATAAATATATGATTACTAATTAATATATATTCACCAAAAAATATACATCTTAAATACCAAATAAAATATTATTTATACTTATAAAAATTTATAGGCATATATTTATATATTAACTTTTACGTTTTGATAATTACTTAATTTAAAATTTAATCTAACTGTGTAATTACACTTGTGCAACCAAACAGTAAACTTGTAGTTACACTATAATTACATTATGACAAACAAACATGTCGTCGTAATTACAAACCTGTGTAATTACTACGCTGTGTAATTACTACCCTAGCAATTATACCAATTCTAATTACTTGGTGGCTTTCCAAACAGACCCTAATAGTATTAAAAGAATTACACTGTCATTGAATATAACTTAAGCCCAAAAAACAACATACTAGTACTTTTTTCAAGAATTAATAGAAAGTACCGAGTGCTTCACGGTCTTATCTGTAATCACTTGCAGAGGAAATTATATTTAGATCAGATATTTTAACATTGAACACATGCCGTTGAGTGTGCGAGAGGTCCATATTGCGATTCCTTAAAAGGAAGTAGAATAATTGACTATACTTACTGCCATACAAAAATATACTCCCTCCGTTCACTTTTACTTGATATATATACTAAAAATTGATTTTCATTTTTATTTGTCACTTTACGCATATCAAGAGAAGACAATTTTTTTCTGTTATACCCACATTATTTATTACCCATTTCAAATTATTTTTAAATCCAATAAAATATGTATCAATTAATACGAATATCATGATAAATTATGCACTTCATTTATTATTTTTTAAGGGACGTGAAAAGTCAAAACTTGCCAAGTAAAAGTGAACAGACGATGTATATGCCAACTTTAGTTAGAACATAATTAATTGATCGAGACACTTGGAACTTGAATTTTGCTGAGGAATAAAAGAAAAGAAAACAACTCCCGTGGAATTGCTTTTCACATAGTATTTCCAAGCGAAAGAAAATATGAAGGAAATCAACCGGAAAATTTGGTAAGCACGAATTATCGAGGTACACGCAAGTTGATTCAAACTACGATTATAAAAAGTTATATATATTTATATGATATTTGTTAAGTAACCGTAACCAGAAAACAAATTTAAAGAAACACTTTCGAGTTGTTCAAAAGTCACATACATTAATCTCAAGAATTTAATTATAATACAAACCCAAAGGGACTAATGTGCTGCTTTACTTTTTCACACAAGAACAAAGTTTTGAACTCCATAACTAAAAAGAAAATACTTATTTTTTGTTGAAAAAGAAATTACTCTTTCTACAATATGAAAAGAAAGTACTTATTTTGTTGAAATGGAAGAAAATACTTTTTCTACATCATGAAAAGAAAATACTCATTTTATTAAAATGAAAAAAATATTTTTTCTATATCAAGAAAAGAAAGTACTTGTTTGTTGAAATGAAAGAAAAAGAAGACCTAGTCAAACCAGTTACAAGAGAAGAAATACTTCAAGCAATTAAGGATATGCCCCATGATAAGGCTCCAGAGTTGATGGTTTCCCAGTAGAGTTTTTCACAAGACATTGGCAAGTTGTTGGTGATGACATATAAAGTTGTGAAGGAATTCTTTGTGACTGGGAGGTTGCATAAAGGAGTCAGTAGTACAGCTGTAACTCTGATCCCTAAAGTGCAAAATCCTAGTCAAGTGAAGGACTATAGGCCCATAGCATGTTGTACAACTCTATATAAAATTATCACAAAGGTCCTTACAGCAAGACTAAAAGCAGTCATTGGAGATCTAATTGGGAGATCACAGTCAGCTTTCATTGAGGGTCACAGCATCACAGATAACATCTTGTTCACACATGAATTGTTCAAAGGTTATAACAGAAAGGGCATCTCTCCAAGATGTGTCCTCAAAGTAGATTTAAAGAAAGCCTATGACACAGTGGAATGGTGTTTCTTAGAAAGACTGTTTAAGGATATGGGGTTTCCTTATAAATTCATAGGATGGGTAATGGAGTGCATTTCATCAGTTACTTATTCCCTCAACATAAATGGTGGTCTCACAATTCCTTTTAAAGGCAAAAGAGGCATAAGGCAAGGATATCCAATGACTCCCTACCTTTTTGTCCTGGCCATGGAGTATTTGAAAAGGGAGTTCATGCAAATGATGAAGAGGAAAGATTTCAAATTCCATCCTAGGTGCAAGAAATTGGGAGTGGTACATGTATGTTTTGCAGATGACCTGCTAATGTTTTGCAAAGCTGATATTCAGTCTGTTAGACTACTAAAACAGACATTCCAGAAGTTCTCAAAAGCATCTGGTCTTCAAGCAAATGCTGAAAAGAGTGTTGTCTATATAGCTGAAGTGTCAAATTGGCATAGAGAGGAAATTCTGCAAGAGTTAAGTTTCCCTGAAGGTAGGCTTCCTTTCAAATACCTAGGGGTACCTTTGGACTCCAAAAAATTAACCATTGCTCAGTGTTGGCCAATAGTAGAGAAAGTAACTCAGAAAATAAACTGCTGGACATCAAGATTGCTATCATATGCAGGGCGCCTTCAATTGATAAAATCTGTATTATTTAGAGTGCAATCCTATTGGTCTCAAATTTTATTATTGCCAAAGAAAGTGATGAGGATGATAGAGGCAATATGCAGACCACCTGTGGACTGGCTCAGCTACTGTGTCAAGAAAAGCTTTGGTTTCTTGGGAAACAATTTGCTTGCCATATAGTGCAGGAGGTCTCAATGTAATGAACTTACTAGTTTGGAACAAGGCTGCTATTGCTAAGCACCTATGGGCAGTGGCAAAGAAGAAAGACAGCTTATGGATTAAATGGTTGCACGTCTATTACATAAAGAATCATAGCATTGAAGATATGCCTACTCCTAGGAATGCAACCTGGGTAGTTAGGAAGATCGTTGAGTCAAGGAAGATGATAAACGAACTTCAAGGCATTCAAGGCAACCTGGAGAGCAGACTGATCCAGCTACAGAGGGGTGAACTATTCAGCATTAAAAAACTGTACAGGCTTCAATACCCTCACTACCAAAAAAGTTCAATGGTA